TGATTGGCTCAAAAGATGAAAGAAGGTTGTTGACTCCGTTGGTAAAAATTTTTACAAAAACTGATTGATATGAAAAAATTCAGAAGTGATTTAAAAAAGGTCTCCATTTTGTCGCAGGACTTATTTGCCAACCTATATACATCGTTGCACGGCAGCGTCAACTATAGTCAGTTAGTGTACTTGTATAGGAAGGCTCCACTCTTTAATCGACCAGTGCTGGCAGAACCACTCCGTCTCGACACCGTCAAAAACTTTTTCGTAGTCAGCAATGGTAAGGTCAAGGGATTCGGAAATTTGGGCACACACCATGTTTATTGTGACCGCTTGGATGTGATCTAAGCAGCTGAATCCTTCCCAAAAAACCGGCCTGCTTACAGAATGAGCTTCATCCGACATCCGCGATATGTGTTTCAGAATGATCTCCGTGAAGCTTGTAAAGGACCCTCACTTATTGGACGGTAGTTGTAAAGATCGGTCTACTTTCTTGTGAAGAATGACCAACCGCGAGTTCCTCTTTTGGTTGGTGGAACTCTCCGTTCCGTCGTGGATCGGCACTAGTTTTGTGTAAAACTTCTGTGCAACTTCCTTCATATAAAATCTTAATGTGTAAAGGTTCCATCGTTTTTCTTCAAACATGAAGATGGCATTATGTGGGCATAAAGATCCCTGTGACACTTCTTCAGACTAGTTTTGTTTAGGGTAGCTTCAGTAGCCTTCTGTCCGTCGGGTGGAGGTATCCGTTAGACGATGCTTGGCCTATTCAGCACATATGAGGAGACCTGGAACCAGCGCGTCGTAGTCTTCGGTCGTGTCATCCATTATATGTCAGTCATATCGGAACAAAGCGTCGTTCGAACGTCGTCGTCCTACAATTTCCGCCTTCATGAGAGGTCTTCTCTACTTTATGAATGAATCTAACAATAGCGCAAAAGTCTCGGGGATCAGGACCCCTGGAGAAAGATTGTACCACCCAATATAGTAGGCTCCTTTTCCTGTTAATCTGTAGTCCAGTTCAGCATGGGCTGTACCATTTGGACACTACCTTGTCTTCAGGAAAAAAGAGTTACTACAGAAGAGCCGAGTCGCGGGCAGAGTCCTACCAGCTGGTTTCCATTCTCGCATTGTGGATGATATTCTCTAACTGGTCGCAGAACGCTTTGAGCTCTGTTTCGTCAGCTGTTGACGGTAGAGAATAACAGATGACAATACATAGCGATGACCTTCAGATGCTATGCCGTGTTTTGTCAGAATTTCCTTTTTTTGAATCCACAAAATCCACAAAAGCAAGAACTGTGTAGAACACAAGCCTCAAGTGTTCGGCATGATTCATGAAGACGTTTACATTGGGTAACCGAGTTCTTCCGCTATTTGGAAAGTCTCTGGTCAGCTCCTTATCGAATATCAGAGCAGTCATCATCAGCAAATCAGGCGGTGATATGTCAACGCAAGGATTCCGAGTCATGGGCAAAATGTTCAGCACCGGTGTAACCGCTATTCCACTTCCCTGCCTCTGAAACCCTGTACATCCACTTAAAGCCCAAGACCTTACCCAGGCTTCCCCCTTTTTGATGGTAGAATCCCCATCAGACAACGTCTTCCTTCCAGAGTTTACGCATCGGATGCAGAACCGTTCATGGAGAGAAATACGCGACCGAATCACAGCGAGTGAGTTTCATACAAGTGAATAAGAAGCAATGTACCAGATTGAGTTCAGCAAACTTAATTGAAGGGATCAAACGAACTTAACTATCGAAGATTATAATGCTGCCGTTCTAAGCATGGAACACAATCGGCTAGAATTGGGATGGTAATTTATCCTCTTACCTTGTGAGCCTTCACGGCTGTTTGATTTGCATAGTGGATATACCAAAGAGATATGACCTTTTGAAGAGTTGCATTTTTGAGATTCTCTTCGTCCTTGCACGCCTACACTGTTATTTTCAGGAATAGCGACTTTTCAACGGTTTCTCGCAGTGAAATGACAACATCGGATCAGTCAAAACTGCCATCTCCTCGCACTGACCAAACAACGCCATTCCGAATGCCAGATAGGAAGTTGTCACAGCCACAAACTACGAGCACAGGTGATTGAATGTATGATAATAATTAAAAGCTGGCAGTTATCAGGGGATTACTCGAAGGATGACTTGGTCCCTAGACAGTAACTCTAATAAATGTAAGCATAAGAAGTAATCAGAGTTTGTAAAGAAGGGGAAGGAAATTAAAACATACGGAGGGTGAAGTGGCATTTCCCAGCAGGCTATCAGAGCTGCAATGGTAATTATTCTTGCTCTCCACGAAAACGTCTGAGATTTCTTCTTTTTTTTTTGGGAATTTCTAAATCGTGCCCTTATTTGCTGCCTGATCCAGGAGAAGCAGTAACTTCGTTACGATCGCCTTCTCCATTGAGTTCTACAGACACATATTACGGTCTACCTCCACTCATTGAAGCAGTAGAACCAGAAGTACTCGGTGAGTTCTTTTCTCCAGAGCGGGATCCAAATATGGCCGTTTTCATGGCTCTTACAACGGTTTTCCAGAAGCTTTTGCAAAACCGAGTCCAGATGATGAAAAATGGGTTGCTCAGACACATTATTATTTTGACAACGAAAAAGTCTATGTACGGAAATCTACTGTGAGCCATTGATATGTAGCTTTTTTGTTGAAAATGTTTTCATCTTGGGTTCCAGTAGAATCGGAGACCTCATTAAAGTCTTTTTATTATTTAGAAACCCTCGGTAGGAAGAAGGTTAAGAATAGGAAAGCCTCAGAAAAAGCGATGGTCTTCAATAATGCGAGAGGTACGTTCTAAGGAGGAATGAACTGAATTCAGAAGTGAACTGCTATCTGAGTTCTGACCATGTAACGGAATAATCGGCTAGGTTGTACCGTGAAATCTGGACCATTTTGGTCCGTCAACTTGTAGTAATGATCTGATGAACTCCGGTCGAATTGTAAACAAAAAAAAGGAAAATTTTTGGAATGTTCCGATGAAGATTACTGTATCAGAATTTCAGATGGCTTTGCGTCATCCACTTCCAGTCAATCCTGCACCTTTTCCTTTGTCGAAAGCGATGGATGAATTAAAGCTCAGACCCGAAAAACGCTTCACTATGCCACATAACTGAGACATTTTACTGTAATGCATTTCAGTAGTGCGTAATTCTAAATGCAATGTTACATATTAGTACTTCTACTAGTAATCGATGAAAGACAACTGGTGTATCGTCTGTTTTGTGTAATAAAACTTATTCAATATCACGTAAACAGTATAAACAAGTACAGGGTGGCTTCAAAGTATGGTTCGGTATTTATTCGCATGTAAAAAAATAAATAGGACACATTTCTTCAAGACTTTTCATTAAATGGTATAACTAAGACAAAGGAACATTTATTGTTGGTATTGTTCGAACTGATCGCCTTTGACCAGACTACAAGCTTCCAATTTTGTTCGTAAAGGCTCCCACGGTGGGCCGTAAGTAGGCGGGCGACACAAATTTTCTGCCTTTCCCTTTGAAGAGCTGTTTTTAGACTGTCCAAACTGCGGTGAGGTGAAGAAGATGGTGCTTGGCTGCAAGAAAACTGGGTACAGATTTAAATAGATCTCGGCCATGTACCGGATTCAGATTCAAATTTGTACACAACCAAGGAGATGTTAAGGCTTTGCCCCTCAATAACTGTTTTCATGTTGGGCTAATAACCCAAATGGTTTTTTCCAACAGGTCTATACGTCCATACAGCTTTTTGGCGCCAAAGACATTTAGGTGCTAAGTGGGTTGGGGGGTGCCAGGTGGCGGCGCGGCACCCTTTCCCGTCTGGCGCC